GGTGAATCCTCTCACCACCCCTGTACCTCTGGCCTGTACCCCAGTTCTGGATGCATAAATAAAATTAAATCTTCAAAAAAAATAAATAAATAAAAATTTTCATAACTGAATATTTTTAAAAATAAAAAGTCAGGGGAGGGAAACGCACTGGACTATGGTGATGGCACAGGGTGACTTGGTGACGGGAAACCCACAGGGATGACAACTGAGATGGAAAAATGCACAAAATGATGTAAAAATAAGTTATTATATATTTTTAAAATAAAAATAAACTAATTCGGTGAGGTAGCAGAATGCAAAAATTATATATAGGAACTAGCAATGCTTATAAAAATTAGACTATATAGAGAAAATAATCTATAATAGTAACAAAGAAAAGACTACTTTGGGGAACAATTTACAGGTCACATTTTTAAATACTAGTGAAGAACACAAAATGAGCACAATATGCTCTTGGAGTTGAGAAGCTGGAACCACACCCTCTTTGCTGACTCAGTCTCTCTAATTTTGTATTTTGCCCGCGGACTTGGAGCCACGTGGGCTCTCACTGATTTCCTGTCTCCGTGTCCACGAGAGAAGTGGCCGTGGACTTGGGGCCTTTCTCTAGTGGCTGGGGGCTGGGTGGACGTGCTAGAGCAGGGCACCACCAGCAACAGGAGGGGGGATCACTCTAACCCACAGTGAGGAGGCCAGTGCGGCCGGCTGGCGCAGTGGGGAGACCCACCCACCAGGCACAGGAAACACACGAGACACTCGTCACCGCTTCTGGGAAACTCAGAAACGGGCAACGCTGTCCTTCTTGCATTTGCATTTGGCTACAGGTCCGGGCACAGAGCAATTGTCTGTACCTTAAGGAAAAACTCAATGCCCGCGTAAGAGAAGAAGCAAGTGTCTGTGGCCCCAGCATGGGTGGGGGGTGATAGGGTGCAGAGGGCGGGGGGGCTGAACACTGGAGGTTCTCCTGCCTGTAGGATGACTCCACCCAGTGTGGCTGACCACTGAAACCGGACACACGCTGACCGTTCAATGATAGAACAGAGGCTAGAGATGTGATTTATTTAGTCATTCAGCAAACTCTTTCTTTTTTTTAAACATTTATGTATGTATGCATATAAAACTGGGTATAAGCCAGAGGTGCAGGGGCGGTGAGAGACTTCACCAGAGACAGAGCGGGGAGCAGAACAGGCAGATCGACGAAGTCCACTGCTGAGGGGAGCAGCGGGCGGTCAGGAGAGGTCTGCCGCGCCATGGGGGTCAGCTCCGGCTGGGATGGAACTCGCACTGAAGCAGCTGCCGCCAGCTTGCAGTGCTGCGTCCTAACCCGCTGCGCCAGGGAGGGCCTGACTCAGCAAATTCTTATTGAGCACCCACCCCGTGCTGAATGGTATTTGGGGTTGTGAGGATGCTCTTGACATGTTGCTTAGCCAGAAACCAGGTCACAAGCCCCTCCTGTGTCACATTCCGGAGAAGGGGAGGAGTCGGGCCGCCTCGGAAATGTGCTGGAGGCAGAGCGCTGCAGGGTGCTTTATGGATATCACCTCTCTACACCATAGAGGCCCTCTGCCCCCTCTGACAGACGAGGAAACTGAGGCTCAGAGAAGACTGAGCCTCCGCCGAGACTCCCTGGAGCAGGGTTGAGCCAGGCAGTTTCCTCCTGAGTCCACAGATGTGATTGTCTTCTTCCCCCTCCTCCACGGGGTCTCTGGGAGACACACAACACGGAGAGCTCAGAGTCTGGAGGTCTTAACGCCCACCCCACCCTCTTCTTGTGAAGCCTTCGCTCGAGGTGGCTTCACTGAGACCAGGGATTTCTCTTGGGTGGAGGATTTCAGTCCTCAGGGAGCTGGGAGGACGTCGGTGGGAGTCTTCCATGTGCTGCTAAACTTTCCAAAGCCGGAGGAGATACGCTGCTCGGCGCCCAGTGGAGCTGCTTGTGGCCAGGGCTGGAGGCCTCAAGGCAATAGCGCAACTAATAACAGCTGCCATCCGGAGGCCTGCCAGCGCGGCCTGCCCGGCACCATGGCAGCCGAAAACACCCATTTGAAAGGGTCCCTGCGAGATTGCATCACCTTCCCAAGATGCCTGCCAAGAGCGAAGTGTTTCTGCCAAGTGTGTGAAGCTGTGTTAATGCCACGCAGCTCCCATGGCGATGGGAGAGCAGCAGCCAGGGCAACCGGGGCTGCGAGGGGGCAGCCCACCGCCTGCGTGCCGCCCCCGCGCACATGTCAATGCCCAAGAGCACCCCAAAGGGCTAGCGCCCTCTACCGTTGACACGGAAGCCAGGCTTGTCTGACTCACCTGCCCCCGTCTGCACAGCCAGGGAGTGGAAGTGTCACTGTGCCCCTCAGCATGTCCACTCCCTGATAGGTAAACAGTGGACGGGCACGGGCATGGGCCTGCACCAAGGTGTTCGCTGAGGTTGGCCTCACACAGCTGCCTCTCTGGAGCATTCAGGGCCACCTGGAGCATCGTTGATGACAGCAGGGCTTTGCGCCACCGTCCCAAGGCGTGGGCCCCAGGCGTGGGCCCCAGGCGTGGGCCCCAGGGGGTTCTGGGTAACCAGCCGGCGCCTCTTGCCCACAGCCAGCGGGGGTCTGGTGGGGCTCGAGCTTTGCCTTGTCTTTAGACTCCCTCAGAGTCTCCTGGGGATGCCACACATACAGCAAGTTGCTGGCTTTGAGTTCCGACCTATGCTGGGGGATACATGGTGAACCCCATTTTCCACGTGAGAAACCCAGAGTTCAGGGAAACTGAAACTCTGAGGGTTGGAGCGACTGTCGTGTGGTTTCCTCACCTCTAGTAAAGTGTCTACAGCCCCATTTCTCCTGCCACTCTGCACCCTGCCTTCTCCTTTGGGGTGCTCTTCTGTGTGAACTAGCCCCTGTCACCCAGAGTTCTGTGCATCTCCCGTTACAATGGCAGGAAAGGCAATAATGTGGCAACTTTGCTGGCCCAGTCATCCGCGGACATCCATGTGGAGGCCACGCGGGAGAGGGGACAGACTTGCTGAGCTGTCATCCAGGGCCACGCAACTCCCCTGCTCAGAGCGTGCGTCGTGATAGTGTTGCGTGTATTTGCAGAGTTGTGCGATCACCACAAATCGATCTTAGAATATTTTCATTGCCCTGTGCTTAATGAATGCTGCTGGTTCATCCACATTTTAATCATCTGGTATCTGGCCACCCCTGTACACGGATTCAGGGAGTTGTTCTCTGCTGTGCTGCAACCCAAGCCCACAAGCCTTGAAGGAGTTTACGGATTTTCAGTGCTGGATATGGTTACTGCAGCGACATTGATGATTTAAACAAGTGCTCCTTTTCTCTGGC